TGGTGGGAATTAAAAAAAAAATACTTTTACCATTAAATTTCTACCACAAGATAAGAGCTCTCCACCCAAAACTGGTGCAATCAGTCAGGAGTGAAAGGGGGAGGATGCATAAAGGTGATCCAGGCAGATAGATAATAGAACTGAGTAGACTAGCTTTTCTCCCTGGAAGTCAATACTAAAACAATGCTCTAGGTTACTTAATTGGAAAATCACCAACCCTGCATTTTCTGAATCTCCTATTATTTTTTCAGATACCAGACAACTGAGCAGATGTTGGAAATAAGTTCAGTTTACTTCTGTTAAGAATCTTATATTCATCTCAATAATAGCATTTTGGGACCCAAGCAATTTGGTATTCTTGAAAATTTGTGTTGAGATCTTTATTAAAACTTTCCCTCATGCAATTAGAATCTGGACTCTGTTCCCTTTCCCCCACTTCCACCTTACCAAGTCTCTTGCTAAAGGTACCCCTGGAGACATCTAGAGCAAGACATTTGTCTAGAAGGTCCTGCTGGTCTCCACAATAGATACACAGAATCTCCAGGAAGGTTTGTGGAGTGAATGGAAGTTGGGGCAGAAACTCTCAGTACACATCAACCCAGTGTCAATCCAGGAGCATGAAAGAGATGAATTCTGGAGAACAAAATGGGGAAGCAATTCATGATTCAACCATGCCAGAAAGACCAGTGAGCACAGAAAGAGCCTCACAATTTGGAGTCATCATAGGCCATGGAGAAATGAAGTTGACGAAGATAAAAAATCAGGTTTCACTGGTATCATACAGGCTGGGCTTAGTTTCCTATAAAGAGATATAGTGGCTTGCATGGGGATAAGTGGGAGTTTTAAAGAATTCCTTGATTATATAATAGTTGGTTCCTAATAGGCACAAAGCAGAAGCTTGAAGGATGTGAAGTTGTTTGCACAAAGTGCTCATATTTTCTTCTGCTTCTGTCCTCAGGGACAAATCGGCTAGCCAATAACGCATATACACACGCGGGGAGGGGCATATACACTCACTCACACTCAGAAACATTCAGAACATTAAAAAGTGCACAAGAAGGTCAGGTGCAGTGTCTCACACCTGTAATCCCAGCACTTTGGGAGGCTGAGGCATGAGGATCGGTTGAGTCCAGAAGTTTGAGACCAGCCCGCACAACATGGCAAAACCCTGTTTCTACAAAAGATACAAAAGATCAACCAGGTGTGGTGGTGCACACCTGCAATCCCAGCTACTGAGGTGGGAGGATCGCTTGAACCTGGGAGGCGGAGGTTGCAGTGAGCTGTGATCACGCCACTGCACTCCAGCCTGGGTAACAGAGTGAGACCCCATCTCAAAAAAAAAAAAAAAAGAAAAAAGAAAAAAACAGTGCACAAGAAGGATTTTGACAAAAGGCATATGGGGGCCATAGGCCACATTCCCAGGGATTAACTGTAGTCTCAGTTCCCATGGTGATTATACATTCAACTCAGGGACTGCTTCCTACTCAGTGTAACCTCCATTAAGAGGCAGGAGACAAAAAGGAATAAAGCTGAAGCACTTCAATGACACCAGACTGTGCACAAAGGCTGCCAGCACCACAGCGAGACCCAGGGAGCCACTCAAACTGTCACATTACACATCTCATAGCACACTAATCGATCCCTCATCACCAGCAACCATTGTGGAAAAGGCTGGATCAGAAACGCTTTATGAAACATGCAAAGATTTTTTTTGCTCCAATTCATCTGAAGTTCCCTTTATTATGTTATTAGTTATGGCCAGATGAACAATTCTGAGATTCTTTCCTATTTCAATTTGTGTAAGAGCCCTTGTGATGTGTGTGATGTGTGTGTGTGATGTGTGTGATGTGTGTGTGTGTGTGTGTGTGTACTTGAATGCATGACTATAATACATAATGGTCAACAGATAGAAAGCAGTATTCTTCTCCCACTGTCCCCTTCCCATAAAAAGAAAAAGGTTTTGGAAATGTAACCTCGTTTTTTTCTTTTAATTAAATTTTTTGTTTTGAGATAATTGTAGGTCCACCTGCAGTTGTAAGAAATAATCCAGAGAGATCTCATATGCTTTTCATCCAGTTTGCCCCAGTGATAACATCTTGCATGAATAGAAACAATATTACAACCAGGAAACTGATGTTGATACAACACACTGAACTTATTCATATTTTACCAGTTTTATGTGCGTTCATTTGTGTGTATTTAACGCTATGCAATTTTATCATGTGTACATTCGTGTAACCAGAAGCACAGTTGAGATAGGGAATGCTCCCATCGCTTCAAGAACCTCTTATGCCACCCTTTCATAGCCATACTCTTCTCCCTCTTGTCCCTGCCCTTCTCCCCTCCCCAGTCCAACCCTTGGGGATCACTAGTCTATTTTCCATCTCTATAATTCTGTCATTTCAGGAAGGTTATAGAAATGGAATCATATAGTATATAACCTTTTGGTATTGTCATAATTCCCCTAAGGCTCATTCAAGCTGTTGCATTTATCAGTAGTTATTCCTTTTGAGAGCTGAGTAGTATTCCATGGTAAGAATGTACCACAGTTTGTTTAACCATTCACCTGTTGAAGGATATTCACATTATTTCCAATTTTTGGCTATCACAAGTAAAGCTGTTATGAATATACATGTAGATGTTTTTGTGTGAACTTCAGTTTTCATCTTTCTGGGATAAATGGCCAGGAGTTCAATTACTGGGTTGTATAGTAAGTGGCTGTACTACCCGAGAATTTTATATTCCCACTAGTAATGTATGAGTGATCTTGTTTTTCTACATCCTTGCCAGCATGTGGTGTTATTGCTGTTTTTCACTTAAGCCATTCTGCTATGTGTGTAGTGATATCTCATCATTTTAATTTGCATTTTGTAATGATTGATGATATTGGACATCTTTTCATGTGCTTATCTGCCATCTGTATTTCTTCTTCAGTGAAATGTCTGTTCATGTCTTTTGCCCATTTTTTTCCCCACTGTTTTTGAGAGTTCTTTTTGGCATAATTTAGACACAGGTCCTTTGTTGAATATGTGGTTTGCAAATATTTTCTCCCAGTCTGTAGTTTGTCTTTTCATCCTCTTAACAGCATCTTTTTTAGAGCAAAAGCTTTTAATCTGGTTTTTTTTTGAGATGGAGTCTTGCTCTGTTACCAGGTTGGAGTGCAGTGGCATGATCTCGGCTCACTGCAACCTCCGCCTCCCAGATTCAAGTGATTTTTTTGCCTCGATCTCGGCTCACTGCAACCTCCGCCTCCCAGGTTGAAGTGATTCTTTTGCCTCAGCCTCTCGAGTAGCTGGGACTACAGGCATGTGCCACCATGCCCAGGTAATTTTTGTATTTTTAGTAGAGATGGGGTTTCACCATGTTGGCCAGGATGGTCTCGATCTCTTGACCTCAGGTGATCTGCCCACCTTGGCCTCCCAAAGTGCTGGGATTACAGGTGTAAGCCACTGTGCCTGGCCTTAATCTTGTTTTAAGGATTATATTTTTGATATCAGGTCTAAAAACTCCTTGTCTACCCCGATATCACAAACACTTTATCCTATGTGTTTTTCTAAAAGTTTTATAGTTTTATGTCACATATTTGCATCCATGATTCATTTTGAGTTAATTTTTGTATAAAGTGTGAGGTTCAGGTTCACTGGGGAGCGGGGAGCGGTGGATATGAACATCTAAGTGTTCTAGCAGCGTTTGTTTAAAGGCTATTCTTTCAAAGCAATCTATTGAATTGCTTCTGCACCTTTGCCAAAAATTAGTAGGGCATGTTTGTGTAGGTCTACTTCTGTCTTGAGATAATCACAAAAAAAGTAGAGGAAAATGACAAAGCCTTAAGCAGTTAGAGAGATGCTAATAAATATGAAGGACAGATAAAGTCATTCAGCATAAGAAGAGCTGCAGTCCTTGAAAAGATAACATACTGAATGGAATGCCAGAAGATGTATTCAAAGAGACTTTCTCTAAAATGAAGGAAGAAGTGAACATGCAGAATGAAAACATATTATGTTTTTGAAAATTATGATAAAAATCACAACACAAAAATTACTCAACATTAAGATATAGCCTAGTTGTTATTGAACTTCAAGAATAAAATAATTTTTTAGGTTTTTAGGCAGATGAAACAGGTCACATTTAAGGGTGGTAAAAAAAGAAAAAATCTGGCTAGCCTCAGACTTCTCCAAAACATTTAATTCAAGAACATAATGGAGTAATGTTTATAAAATTCTGAGAAAATGAAACTGTGACCCAGCAATATTAAGTCCAGACAAAAATGTCATTCAAGTATAAAGATAAAAGCAGACATCCTCAAACATGAAAGAATTAAAGGAATATGACATCCGTGATGAAAATTTCCAAACAACAAAATAGCAACGGCTCTTTGCCAATAAAATCCAGTCAGTTAAGAAATTACTTAAAATAGGCCAGGCACAGTGGCTCACTCCTGTAATCCCAGCACTTTGGGAGGCTGAGGCGGGCAGATCACTTGAGGTCAGGAGTTCAAGACCAGCCTGGTCAACTTGGTGAAACCCCGTCTCTACTAAAAATACAAAAATTAGCTGGGTGTGATGGTGGGCGCCTGTAATGCCAGCTACTCAGGTGGCTGAGGCAGGGTAATTGCTAGAACCCTGGAGGCGCAGGTTGCAGTGAGCTGAGATTGCACTATTGCACTCCAGCCTGGGCAACAAGAGCGAAACGCCGTCTCAAAAAAAAAAAAAAAAAAAAAAAAGAAATGGATACTGTTGTGGGTGTAGGGCTATTTTGTCAGTAGTCAGAATACTTTGATTTCTGGCTCTACTCTGGTGCACTTAATTTCTGTAGGCTTTATGTTCTAAGATATTGACCATAAATAATGACTAATAAATTAATACAATGTATATTAGAATTGAATACAAGTTCTTGCTAAAACTTCCTAGGTGTTTCCTGTGATTATACCTAAATGTTTTTGTATATATGTATGCATGTTTGTATTTATTTACAGTTAACACACATTTGTTTTAGAAACATGAGGGAATAACCTTGGTCGTCCTTTATTCCATTACATCATGAGTCTCGTGGGCTGAAACTGAATCATAGCAGCTGGGTAGGTGGAGGGAGATGAGTCTGAAAAGATAAATGGGAGTCAGATCATGAAGGGCCCCACCTGCCATGCTAAGGACTCTTTACTTTATTGTGACCAAGGGCCCCCTGGTGGATTCTTCACAATGGGACTGTTGTAACAGTTGCATTTCTAAAAGATCCCATAGGTAGTAATGTGAAAAAACTGACAATGGACCCGGAGTAGATTGAAGGGGCAGGAAAGGGGTGTATCAGTTGAATGTGGAAGATGGAAAAAGAGAGGCGCTTCCGGGTGATTTGGATTTTTGGGTGAATGGAAGTATGATTGGCTGTTTAGCATTGCAAATATGGGAAGAGATTCAGGGGCCACAGCGAATTCCCTTTTGGACAAGTTGATATGGAGGTTCCAATGGGATATTCAAGTGTAGTTTCCTAGTAGTTGATGGTTAAGTGGGCCTGGAGCTCAAGAGAAAGGCCTGGGTTGGGCAGACAGGTGCTGAAGTGGAGGGAAAAGCCCAGAGGGAGAATGTTCAGTAGAAGAGGCCTAGAGTCCTGGCAAACGCCAACTTTTAGGGCAAAATGTAGTGTTTCACAGCACAGTCTTTGGAGTTTACCTAAGGGTAACCTGGGGCAAGTTATTTGACTTCAGTGTCTTAATTGCAAAATGAGCACAACAGCACCTACCTGAGTTAGAAAAACATTTGCAATTTTTAGTTCCTTGAGAGATCTGTGGGCTGGGAGCAGTGGCTCACGCCTGTAATCCTAGCACTTCAGGAGACTGAGGTGGGCAGATCACCTGAGGTTAGGAGTTCGAAACCAGCCTGACCAATATGGTGAAACCCCATCTCTACTAAAAATACAAAATTAGCCAGGCGTGGTGGCACACATCTGTAATCCCAGCTACTTGGGAGGCTGGGGCAGGAGAATTGCTTGAACCCGGGAGGCACAGGTTGCAGTGAGCCGAGATTGCACCATTGCACTCCAGCCTGGGCAACAAGAGTGAAACTCGGTCTCAAAAAAAAATATATATATATATATATGTATGTGTATATATATATGAATAAGGAGGAGTCCAAGAAGGTGCAGAGGGAACTACGAGGAGGTGGAGCTCTAGAATATATTGAGAAAAGAGAATTTCAAAGAAGCCAACAATGTAAAATCCTCCAACAGGACTGTAACATAAGTCTGTAAAGTGTCCAACTTTTAGCAGTTAGTGACCTTACCACGGGCAATTTCTATGGAATGGGATGAGCCATACTGTAGAGGTTCGAAGACTGAATAGGGGTCAACATGGATACATCTTTTCCTCCCCTCACCGCATCTGTCTTTCCCAGTAGACTTTTCCTTTAAAGGCAGCGACTTGTGGATATTATTCCACTGTTTTCAATCAATTCCATCCACCAGTGAGATATATTACATCAGATTATCTTTCACTCCACCGCATTTGTGCCTTGCAGTTAGTAGGCCATCGACAAAATCACTGATGATATAGGGGCTTCTACAGACTCCCCAATTCATTTGGTAAAGACCTCTCAGCATCATGGTCGGGCCCTGATTCCTTTCACGACAGCTTCGAGGAGTGTCATTCTCATCACGGCCACAAGGTGGAGGCCGCCTCCCTGCTCTGGGACCTCAGGTCGCGACCCCGGAAGCACATCCTCCATCCTCCGCCTTCTTTCCAGCAGAAATGGCGGCTGCGGCGGCTCGAGTTATGTTGTTACCTGCGGCGCGGCGGCGGCTCTGGGGTTTCAGCGAGAGTCTCCTGATCCGCGGCGCTGCGGGACGGGTGAGCTTCCCTCTGCTTGTCTGGGCGCTGCCTGGGGCCAGACCCGGTCGGGCCGGCTCTGGCCTCTCTCGCGGCACCCGGCGCAGCGCACCTGAGAGTCGGCGCCACAGATCCGAACAGCGGGGTCGGGCAGGGCCTCCTCGACCCGGACCCGCTGGGCGCCAGGCGGCCTGGGGCTGCTGAACTGGCCGGGGTGGCTGGCTTGTGGCTACCCGCCAGGAGACCTGCTAGTGACGTGTGGGATGACCCTGGTTTTCGGCTCCTCCCGCCAGCTACTGAGGAGTGCATGTTTGACCACTAAAAACGTAGTGCTGGCAAATTGGGGAAAACTAAAAAGTGAAATATGGTTACCGCTCCAGAGTTCTGTTTTAGCCTAAGACTGAACTTCGTCCTCAGCTGGACTTCCCGCTAACCTGGACATCGCTGAAGTAAAATTTTGTATGTATTTGCATTTTTCTCATGAGCGAGCCTCTGACTTTCAGCAAAGAGATGTGAGACTTTTGTATAAGGGCAAATAAAAACTTCTGGAAGACGAATAGTTCCTGGCCGACAAGCCAGTCAGTTGCATTTTGAACGTCCGGCCATCTTCCTATCCTTTTTTTTTTTTTTTTTAAAAACCATTTCCAAACCCTGTTGCTTTTCTTAAACAATGAAAACCCGAGTGTCAGTTCTGTCTTGTGTGTAGGTAGTTTTACATCTTTTCTCTCCTTTTTTTTTTTATTTTCCCTGCTTGTTTTCTCCATAACGAATATAAAACATTTCTAGGAGAGGTAGTGAAATAAAGTCAATTTCTCTCTGGGTAATGATAATAACTGCTCATCTTCCCTGAGGGAAGGGCATGTTTGTAATCACGTTGCTGGCTCTAGGACAGTGGCTAGTGACACGTTTCTAGGCCAGGCAGAGATCCCAGTGGAACCAAAATTCAAGAAGAAAGATTCTTTTATAGAGAGAGCCTGTTTAACATAGATTTGGTTTTAAAGTCAACATTTAATATCAGATTGGTAATGTGTTTTGCTTTGTCTCTTCCACTTCCTACCCCCAACCAGTCATCATATTTTGGAGAGAACAGATTACGAAGTACACAGGCTGCTACCCAAGTTGTTCTGAATGTTCCTGAAACAAGAGTAACATGTTTAGAAAGCGGACTCAGAGTGGCTTCGGAAGACTCTGGGCTTTCAACATGCACAGTAAGTGACTCAGGCAGCCTTCTCTAAGTGACCCTTCATTTAGTGTAGCAAATTGTTGATTTTAGTCTTTAGTTTCTTTGTTGGCTGGTGGTTCAGAAAGGGTGGCAGTTATTTTGCCTTGACAGATTTCCATGAGTTGTGAACCTTTTGTTCCAGTGATACTTAGTTACAGGGTGCATATGTATCCTGTTGCCTTGTCTGCATCTTGTTCTTGTAGCTTATTATTGATTATTTATTGTTAGTAGTATTGATAATAATGAAAGAGGTATATTTGCAGGGCTACTCTGCCAGGTGTTTTTACTGATGTCTTATTTGCTAAAAAGCAATTCTTTCTAGTGGGCGTCCTCACACCTGTTTTATAGTTAAGGAAGTGAGAGAAGTTAAATGGTTTTGTTCAGGTCGCTCAGCTAATACGTGGCAGAGCCAGGATTTCAACCAAAGTTTTCTGACAGTTTCTGATGTTCTTGATACTACAGTTATTAATTGGCTGGATTAATGAGCTGGGCAAAGAATCCTCAGTGAAGGTGGCAGGTAGATACTTGTAGCACCCAGCAGTATCCTGATCAAAATTTTTAAATCTCATGGTTCATAGGAATGAACTATTAATTCACTCAGATCAAGAAAATCTTAGTGTTAAGATCAGAAAGCACTTGTCAGAAAAAGGAAGGAGACTGTTCCCCGCAACCTCAAATAAATAAAATGGATTTATTTAATTGTTCTTTGATTGCATTAAGGTTGGACTCTGGATTGATGCTGGAAGTAGATATGAAAATGAGAAGAATAATGGAACAGCACACTTTCTGGAGCATATGGCTTTCAAGGCAAGTTGTAAAACTTTACAAAAATGCACTCTCTTTAAGAGATAGTAAGCACAAAGTCTCATTCTTTAGAGGCAGGGAGAGCTCTTTCAGTAGTATAACATGTTTTATGTTTTTTTTCCCAGGACAGTATCTAAAATAAGTACTGATAATTGCTTTGTAAAGTTGAAATGAAAACTTTCTCTTGGGATGCAGGAGTCATCTGAATGTATACCATTTCTGAAGCCTGATGTACCTTATTTTTTTTAAATTTAACTTATTTTGAGATAGGATCTGGCTCTGTTGTCTAGGTTGGAGTGCGGTGACACAATCTGCTTACTGCAACCTCCACCTCCTAGGCTCAAGTCATCCTCCCACATCTACTTCTGGAGTAGCTGGGACTGTAGGTGCATGCCACCACACCCGGATAATTTATTTTTATGTGTGTGTGTGTGTGTGTGTGTATATATGTAATTTTATTTTATTTTATTTTTTGGTAGAGAGGGAGTTTCGCCATGTGTTGGCCAGGTTGGTCTCAATCTCCTGGGCTCAGTCAGCCTGCCTCAGCTTCCCAAAGTGCTGGGGTGACAGGTGTGAGCCATCATACCCTACCTGATGTACTTTAGAAACCAAATTTGACTCTGCATGAAACTAACTTATTGTTCTCCGTGTTCATTATCTGAAGTGTTTAGAATAGATGAAGGATAAAGGGAGGTTGCATAATTTATTTTTCCTCTTTTATTTCAAGGGCACCAAAAAGAGATCCCAGTTAGATCTGGAACTTGAGATTGAAAATATGGGTGCTCATCTCAATGCCTATACCTCCAGAGAGCAGACTGTATACTATGCCAAAGCTTTCTCTAAAGACTTGCCAAGAGGTATTGTTATTATTTATACAGCAGATGATAAAATTTTCATGAGAATCAGAAATTATTTAGTACTTTTTATTATGTCTGTTGTAAAAGAGTAAGTCCCAGAAATGTGAAAACACGAAACTGAATTCTGGGTGAGGGTACAGCTGATCTTATTTTTTTTCTAAATATGACAGATAGTAAGATTATGGATGATTGTTTTTATTAATATGTAGCAATAAAATAGAGATTATTTGGTGGAAATAAAATATTTTGAGAGGACAGCAGTTTGTTACCATATTTGTAGACTATTTTGACTCTTTTAAAAGTTATTACACAAAACATTTTCCTAGTGGAAGAATTAACAACAAAATTTAGCAGTTTTAGAGCTAATTGGTAAAATTATTATTTTTGTTTTTAGAGAGAGAGTCTCGCTCTGTCACCCAGACTGGAGTGCAGTGGTGCGATCTGGGCTCACTGCAACCTCTGCCTCCTGGGTTCTGGGTTCAAGTGATTCTCCTGCCTCAGCCTCCTGAGTAGCTGGGATTATAGGCTCCTGCCACCATGGCAGGCTAGTTTTTGTATTTTCAGTAGAGATGGGTTTTGCCATGTTGGCCAGGCTGGTCTTAAAGTGACCCACCGCCTCGGCCTCCCAAAGTGCTGGGATTATAGGCGTGAGCCACTGTGCACGGCCATTAGTGAAATTATTAACCTTTAAGGTCCTTCTGTAGTTGTAGTTACTACTTTGCAGTTTTGGATTCCTAATAGGCTTCCATTAATAATGTTTAAATGGCACTTTACACAAGTACTTTTGTGTATATATTATCCATTTGATCTGCATAGGTGTTTCTACCTTGCAGTTGTGGAAACTGAAACTCAGACTCTGACTTGCCCAAGATTGCATAGCTATCAGGTGGCTTACTGTGGACTCAAGTACATGTCTACTTACCAGATTCATTTGCTTTGTCAAAACAATAAAATAAGAAACCTATCACCTGTAAATAACTAAAATACTTAATATGATATCCTAACTTTTGCATTAAAACAAAAATGACAGCAACTATGGAGGGTGTGTTGGTTTGAATAACAAAACCAATGAGACAATTTTTGTCCCAGGACTAATTAGGGACCAAGAACATAGGGCTAGGCCAAGCTTCTTTAAAGAGTTGTTCATTCCAGCCTAGTTCCTTCCTTTATTTACACAGAACAGGGAAGGCAAAAAGGAGAAACAGAAAAAGTAAGGGTGACGTTAAAAGACTTTTTTCCTTTTCTCTTGGCATCTAGCTGGGAAGGGTAGAGCCTCTGCTAGTGGGAGTGGAAAAGCAGAGGAGCTCTCCCTGAGGAATACAAAATGGAAGTGCTCTCTGAAGCAGCTCCAACTTTGGGGATTTACTTGGGGTTTTTCACCCTTCACCCTGGGTGAAGCCTGGTATATGAGGTAATAATTAGACATTTAGATAATGGTCTCCAAGTTTTTACGATCACTTATTTTTTTAAATTATTATTATACTTTAAGTCCTAGGGTACATGTGCACAACGTGCAGGTTTGTTACATATGTATACATGTGCCATGTTGGTGTGCTGTACCCGTTAACTCATCATTTACATTAGGTATATCTCCTAATGCTATCACTCCCCGCTCCCACCATCCCACGACAGGCCCTGGTGTGTGATGTTCCTACCCTGTATCCAAGTGTTCTCATTGTTCAATTCCCACCTATGAGTGAGAACATGAGGTGTTTGGTTTTCTGTCCTTGCAATAGTTTGCTCAGAATGATGGTTTCCGGCTTCATCCATGTCCCTACAAAGGACATGAACTCATCCTTTTTTATGGCTGCATAGTATTCCATGGTGTATATGTGCCACATTTTCTTAATCCAGTCTGTCATTGATGGACATTTGGGTTGATTCCAAGTCTTTGCTATTGTGAATAGTGCCGCAATAAACATACGTGTGCATGATGATCACTTATTGTTAAGAAAGTTGATCATATATCCTTAATGTATGTATACTTGTAAGTTAAATACATGTGCTATTATACTAATGTATCTATACATTTAAAAAAAAAATTCAGATTAAAACAGACTGGGAAATAGGAGCCCCCCTCCCCGCCTTTGGAAACTACCAGTGTAGACTACCCATCCCACATAACAGAGGATTTTCTCACAGAATTCTTGTCCTTCCATTTGTCTGTGGGCTATTTCTCACCCATTTTACTAGACTGTGGTTCTCTCATCTGGACAGATGGGTTTTATTTGGTTTTACACATAATTTTTTCCTTTTGGTCATGATCTCAGCCACAGTTTGCTATAATAGTCTGTTTTGTCATGTTCTTAGTATTTGGATATAATCACTTCTGAGACAGTGCCCCTTAAAGTGAACTGAATTAAAACAAGGAACAAAAGTTTATAGTAGAGTAAGAAATGAAACCTAAATCAGACACGGTAGTGCATGCCTTTAGTCCTGGCTACTTGGAGGAAGCTGAGGCAGGAGGATTGTTTGAGCCCAGGAATTTGAGTCCAGTCTGGGCAGCATAATGAGACCTTGTCTCTTAGGGGAAAAAAAGAAACTTAAGATTGAAAGTTTATTTTATAACATTAATTGTATTAATGAAATTTAGATTTATGATTGCAACTGTGTACTAATACTTCAAGAATGAAGTACAGTTTTTTTTTGGAGAGGTATGCACTTTTTCTGATAAAATTGCTTAATGGCCTAATATGACATGTTCCACTTCACTTTTCGCTTTTTGCAAATTCGGGTTTGAGAACACACAATTCTGTGATTCATTTGGGGTATATTTTAGATTATAAGGATTCTTTTCTCTGTTGCCCAGGCAGGAGTGCAGTGGCGCAATCGCAGCTCACTGCACCCTTTGCCTCCCGAGCTCAAGCCATCCTCCCATCTCAGCCTTCCGGGTAGCAGGGACTACAGGCACATGCCACCACGCCCAGCTAATTTTTGTATTTTTTGTAGAGACAGGATTTTGGCATGTTGTCCAGGTTCATCTCAAACTCCTGGGCTGAAGCCCATCTTAGCCTCCCAAAGTGCTGGGATTATATAGGCGTTAGCCACCGTGCCTGGTCAGTTGTTTGCTTCTTAACATAGCACTCTTATTGCTATGGGAACTTGCATAGTAAATACTTGGGTGATGTGAACCCTCAGTATGTTCCTAGCTAGGTATTTTCAGACTAATATATGTAACTTTGTAATTTTCATATAGAACAGTCTACATTAATATGCAAATTTCCATAGCATTTTTGAAGTAGGTAGAGTCATTCCAAGGTGATGGCAAATTTAGAGTTTTTCCCCAAGGAAAATCTTTTGTACTATAGGGGTTTATATGTTAAATTTTAATTTTGTCCTGTTAAGTATATCTGATGTTTTTCTCCCAGGCTAATCATTTAGTACTGAGTGATGGGTCAGTGTCATGATTTCTGATTTTGGTTTAATAGATTTTAATAGTGAAAGTTAAGATTGCTGGTGCTTTTTCTTATATTTTATTTTCAATTAGCTGTAGAAATACTTGCTGATATAATACAAAACAGCACACTGGGAGAAGCAGAGATTGAACGTGAGCGTGGAGTAATCCTTAGAGAGATGCAGGAAGTTGAAACCAATTTACAAGAAGTTGTTTTTGATTATCTTCATGCCACAGCTTATCAAAATACTGCACTTGGACGGACAATTTTGGGACCAACAGAAAATATCAAGTAGGTATAACTCTCAGAATTTCTTGGTGGGTAAGGGAATTTATGAATTTTGAAAATTAACATTTACAAACTTTCAAAAAGTATGTTTCAAAAAGTCATTTTCCTCCTGGTAATCTAAGTGAAATTGTAGTTAGCTACATTTTGGTCCCACCTAGCTCCCAAGCATGTGAGTTCATAGGTACTTCGGAGTAAACCAGTAATGGTGTCAAATCTTTTTTCCTTGATGTAAAAAAGTCGAAGTTCTTTGATGTGTTGTCTATATCCTATTTCTGCCTGCATTTTAGGATACGGTTATGGTCCAATTTGATTTCAGGTATATTATGTGAAGATCTGGTTTTTTTTTTTTTTTGGTTTCCTTTAAAAATGGTTTTACTTCATTTACAGATCTATAAGTCGTAAGGACTTAGTGGATTATATAACCACACATTATAAGGGACCAAGAATAGTGCTTGCTGCTGCTGGAGGTTAGTCAATTTAAATTTCTACAAATGTTTTAAACACAGTTGTTGGAGTGGTATGCTTATTAGTTTGATCCTGTTGGGAGATAGCCTAAGAATTTACATAGCAAGTAACTGTATTTGATACTGTGTAAGGGGAATGTGGAGCACTGGAACCAGACTTTCCCTCTATTTTTTTTAAAGTAGGTTTCATTTAGGCTGGGCGTGGTGGCTCACTCCTGTAACCCCAGCACTTTGGGAGGCCGAGGCGGGCGGATCACGAGGTCAGGAGTTCAAGACCAGCCTAATATGGTGAAACCCTGTCTATACTAAAAATAGAAAAATTAGCCAGGCATGGTGGCGGGCGCCTATAGTCCCAGCTACTCAGGAGGCTGAGGTAGGAGAATCACTTGAACCCAGGAGGCGGAGGTTACAGTGAGCCAAGATCGCACCACTGCCTGGGTGACAAAGTAAGACTGTCTCAAAAAAAAAAAAATGTAGGTTTTATTTCTAGAAAGACTTAATGAACTGTTTAATACATAAGTGTACATAGTAGAACGTGCAAGAAGAGGGCAAAGGAGTGAACTGGGAGAGAGTCGGAAGATAGCATTCTGTACTTTGAGAATTTCTTGAGATTTTAAATTATTTCTTGAGAACCAACTTCATCCTTGTTCAAGCATGGAATGGGTATGTTAATTCTTTGATTTGTTCAATTATTCATTTAATAGATCTAATTTTGGGGAAGGAGAAGCACATAGGGAGCCATGAGAATGCTGAATGGGAATCCAAACATGCAGGTGACTTTAGAAGGTTTCCTTGAGGTCATGTTTGAAGCCAATGAATGAAAAAAAAAAAAAATTCACAGCAGATATTGCCAGATTTCCTGGCAGTCTGAATCTAGGCAACAGTACATTTTAATTGGTTTCCAGTTTTTTTTCTTTTAAAAATATATTTATAGAAGTAGAGATGGATTCTTAACTATGTTGCCCAGGCTGGTTTCAAACTCTTGAGCTCAAGTGATCCTTCCACCTTGGCCTCCCAAAGCTTGGGGATTACAGGCGTGAGCCACTGCACCTGGTCTCCAGTTTTCATTTCTTTGTATTTTTTAATATTAGAGCAAAGTGAAGTGTTGTTTCATGTAAATTTTTCTCTTTTTAGAAATTGTAATTTAAAAATTCTAGTTGCTCTGGATTGATTTCTGAGCTAATTACCTGGGGGGTAATGAAGAAGATGAAACCATTAAATATCAAACATGTTATTCATTGTAGTGCCTAGCTAAAAATCATGTTACTTTCATTGTACATGGCAGGAAGTGCACTCTGAAATTCTCTTGAGTAACACTGTTTCTAAATTGGCTCTTGCAGACTTGGGCTTAAGTGTTTGAAACTGTCTTGGAAATGGGACAAGATACTTGTTAGATGGGTCCTCAACAACAAAGCTTTCTGGAACCTCTCTGCCATTGTTGGTGGCATATGGACAAAATGAGTTTTTTGTTTTACTTTGGTTTATGGGTTCATTTTGACAAAGTTGAGATATCTTTAGTTTAATGCTTATAGATTAATTAGTATTCATTTTAAATACTATGTAAGTGATGTGCCTTACAAATGATTGCATCTTAAATTCAATTAAATAGGCCAGTTTTAAGTTTCTGCTGACCTCTGAATTATGTCTTGGCTACCATTTAGCTCTTCTAGGTTAATCTTCAGGATGTATAGCTTTTATTTGCCAAATAGTTTTTTGTATCCTAGCTTCATTTATTATAAAATTATAATTTAACATTTTAATTATACATTAAGTTAAAGAATCTTAATTTGGGTCTCAAGTTCAGATAGTAAGAGATATAGAGTCTAAGAAATTCCTAAGTTTTTGCATTTGGATACCTATTAATATATTCAGAAATAATTTAGATGACACTATTTTGTTCCTGAGTTGTTTTTTTGAGACGGAGTTTCGCTCTTGTTGGCCAGGCTGGAGTGCAATGGCGTCATCTTGGCTCACTGCAAACTCTGCCTTCCGGATTCAAGCGATTCTCCTGCTTTAGCCTCCCGAGTAGCTGGGATTACAGGCATGCATCACTACACCCGACTAATTTTGTTTTAGTAGAGATGGGGTTTCTCCATGTTGGTCAGGCTGGTCTACCTCCGACCTCAGGTGATCCGCCTGCCGCGGCTTCCCAAAGCGCTGGGATTATGGGCATATGAGCCACCGCGCCGGGCCCTGTTCCTGAGTTCTGATAGGAGAGCGCAGAGAATATAGTATATCTGTGTATCCTGCTTTCTTTTATTTATTTAATTTTATTTATTTTAGACACAGAGTCTTGCTCTGTCACCCAAGTTGGAGTGCAGTGGTGTGATCTCAGCTCACTGCAACCTCTGTCTCCTGGGTTCAAGCAATTCTCCTGCCTCAGCCTCCTGAATAGCTGGGATTATTACAGGTGCCTGCTACCATGCCCAGCTAGTTTTTGTATTTTTAATAGAGACAGGGTTTTACCGTATTGGCCAGGCTGGTCTTGAACTCCTGATCTCAAGTGACCTGCCCACCTTGGCTTCTCAAAGTGCTGGGATTACAGGTGTGAGCCACGGCACCCGGCTTTTAAAATTTATTTTATTGAGACAGGAGTCTTACTATGTTCTTGCTATGTCCAGGCTGGTCTTGAACTCCTGAACTCAAATGATCCTCCCACCTCAGCCTTCTAAAGTACTGGGATTATAGGCATGAGCCACCTTGCCCAGCTCCAGCTTTTTAAAAATTAGATAGAGCTCATATTTGTATTTTCCACTAAAAAAATTTTTTTTGTTGTTGCAAATTGGAAAATTGGCGTTTTTTTTTGCTAGTTTGGATCCCAGAAATTTTTATAATTTAATAGAACATGATTTTGTAAAAAGTGGAGTTTTCAAGTTGTCTTATTCTTAGCTGTGAATCCATTGGTCTGTTGATGAAAACTGTCATTTGCTCTACAAAATGAGAAAGCTGTGCAACCTCAAGCTTTGCAATGCCAAGGAAATAGGTGTGCTATGTGAGCTTACTCTTAATGGCTTTTAGTGAGTGTAGATACTTCATGTGTAATGTACATCACATTATATCACCTAGGGATTTTTGTAAACTATATTGCTGCTAGATACATGTGAAAATATTTTCTTTCAATTTAGGTGTTTCCCATGATGAACTGCTTGACTTAGCAAAGTTTCATTTTGGTGACTCTTTATGTGCACACAAAGGAGAAATACCAGCTCTGCCTCCCTGCACATTCACAGGAAGTGAGGTAGGGCAAGCCTCCCAGCTAATATTTAGCCTTTTGGATTCCTTGTGTTGTATTTACACATAAGTAAACAAAATGTACTATTTCTAGTAGGAATAAAATGGAATAAAAGGCTTACACTGAAATACAGAAAAAGGGAAGAGGAGGTACTCATTTGCTTAAGATTCCTTCCTCTTCTGTATTGTTTAACCACCTGTTTTTCTTTCCTAAGGAAGCAAGGTTTTTTTTGTTTTGTTTTTAAATTTCTCCATTCTAGTCTGAAAGGAAGCAGAGTTTTAAGAGCAGTTTATAATTTGGTCTTTTTGTGCTTTTTCTTTGGCACTGTGCAAATTTATATATTGTAATATCTGGAAGTAATCTTTTAAACCCTATATTTTGACTTTCACTTCAGGTTTACTCTTGGCTCAGTTTTACCCACAGTATGTTTTGGGAGTGGGTAGTAACTGTTAGAGCCAGAACTTGCAGGGAATCTACTAGTTATCAACTAGCTTTAAGCCTCTTTAGGGGCTTAGTTTGCCATGTTAAGAATGATGCTCAACGTAGTATCTGGAAAATGCCCTGATATTGGCAGCTGCCTGGAACTGTAGCATTGGCAGTACAGAAATAAACCTATAACGTCAATATGACATTTCGATAGAAAAGTTCAGATTGAGGCTGGGCGTGATGGCTCATGCCTGTAATCCCAGCACTTGGAGGGCTGAGGCAAGCGTGTCATTTGAGGTTAGGGTTTTGAGACCAGCCTCACTAACATGGTGAAACTCCGTCTCTACTAAAAATACAACAGTTAGCTGGGTGTGGTGGTGGTGCATGCCTGTAATCCAGCTACTCGGGAGGCAGAAGTTGCAGTTAGCCGAGATGGCGCCACTGCACTCCAGCCTGGGTGACAAAGTCTCAAAAAAATAAAAAGAAAAATTCAGATTGACAAACACAAAGGATTAATTTCTACCAGTGAAATGATGCAACCCTTTTTGACCTGGTAAACCACGTGGTGGCCGTCTGTAGTAAAATGTGTTGGGAAAAGTAATTTTTCCTTAACCCATGAAATTTCTTCTAGGCTAAACTATACAATGTAATGAGGCCTGATGGTTAAAAAATCAAGAGAGAGTCCTGGTGTGCATTTTAACTTTGCAATTAATGGGACTGGTGATTTTTTCTTGTTAATAAGCATGTTATATAATGTTAATCTTAACTAGAGGTCCTCCTGCTTTATCTGAACTAGATTCGTGTGAGGGATGACAAGATGCCTTTGGCGCACCTTGCAATAGCTGTTGAAGCTGTTGGTTGGGCACATCCAGATACAATCTGTCTCATGGTTGCAAACACGCTGATTGGCAACTGGGATCGCTCTTTTGGAGGAGGAATGGTAAGTGATTTTAAAAGAAATTTTCCATAACAGATGGAAGATTATCATGTTTTCTTAAATACAAGTTCTTTGTAAGAATCCTTTTTTGAAGTGGCAAAATAGAGCCTTGTACTGTGAATTATATAAACTGATCCTGGTTTGCATGTGGGCCAGAAAAAAACATTTTCTTTTTTTCTTTGCCACAAAGTTTATTAGTGGCAAAATTTGAATAAGGACAGAAAAATTAGCTAGAAGTACTATATCAATGTTAATATCCTAATTTTAATGGTCAGTAGGCCTTCTGTATCTGTGGGTTCCATATCCATGGATTCAACCAACCATAGGTGGAAAATTTGGGGGAACAAATGGATGATTTCATCTGTACTAAACATGTATGGACTTTTTTTTGGTCACTTCCCATATAGTATAACAACTATGTACATAGCATTTACATGGATTGGGTATTTAGAGATGATTTAAAGTATATAGGACAGTCTGCTTATATGCAAATACTATATACACCATAGTACATGAGGGCTCTAGCATCTGTGGATTTTGGTATCCACAGGGATCTGGGAACCAGTTCTCCACAGATACTGAGGAGCTATACCGAGGTGATGTAAGAAAATTAATTTCCTTGTTTTTCACAAGTACATACTAAAGTACTTGGGGCAAGAAGCATCACATCTAAAACTCAAAACAGTTGAAAAAACTTGTATAAAGAGAATAAAGCAAACATGGTAAAATAACAGGGAATTTGGATAAAGGGAATTCTCTACTGTTTTTGCAACTTTTTTGTAAGTTGGAATTATTGCAAAACACAGTGTATAGATTTGTCTTTACTCAGATTTCTCCAAAATACATTTCATCTAAATATCTTAAGCTTTGTATGCAACATAACTTTGAATCTAAGCGTATGTAACCAAGAGCCCTAAAAATTGGGTTGATAATAGCAGTCTAGTTTTAGAAGTAGGTATAGCTACTACATTAATTATAAGGATTCATTGCTTTTATAACATGAATTTCTCCAGGGGGTGCACTGGATTAATAAGCACAATTGTTAGTCATACTGAATTTTAACTGTACTACTGAGATGTTGAATAAAACTAGGAAACTTGCCTCTAAGGATATTCACTGTTTTCCACACACTCCATTTTCCTTTCTGTATTTTGGACATGTGTACTTAAAATTCTCTTGGAATTTTTTTTTTCCTTACAGAATTTATCTAGCAAGCTGGCCCAGCTCACTTGTCATGGCAATCTTTGCCATAGCTTTCAGTCTTTCAACACTTCCTACACAGATACAGGATTATGGGGACTGTATATGGTTTGTGAACCAGCCACTGTTGCAGACATGCTACATGTTGTTCAGAAAGAATGGTGAGAATTTAAGTAATTTAAATTTTGCCTTTAATTCGTTTTAGACTAGTTTTTTCTGTATACTTCATGGTGATTTATGGTAATTTTACCTTTTAATTAAGAGACCTAGATAAACAGTAGTTGCCATGTTTTTAAAGGTTGCAGATGTTTTTTCCTAAGTCTCAAGATGTGAAGCTGATTTATACTATAGGACTTTTTTTTTTTTTTTTTTTTTGAGATGGGGTCTTGCTCTGTTGCCAGGCTGGAGTGTAGTTGCACTATCTTGGCTCACTGCAGCCTCTGCCTCCTAGGTTCAAGCAATTCTCCCACCTGAGTCTCCCGAGTAGCTGGGATTACTAGGTGTACCACCATGCCTGGCTAATTTCTTGTATTTTTAGTAGAGACAGGGTTTCACCATGTTGGCTAGGCTGGTCCTGAACTCCTGATCTCAGGTGATCCACCCTCCTCAGCCTCCCAAAGTGCTGGGATTACAGGCGTGAGCCACCGTACCCGGCTGAAAGTTTTAATCTTTCAGAAGCAGGTTAACTCAGAAAGATGATCCTAAAAGTTTAAAAGCCAACTAGAAGTTGTTTGGAAAATATCTTTGAAAGTAATCTGGTTGAAGGGAAAGTAAATCTGAAGTTGCCACTGCTAAAAGAAAACAATCAAAGTATATTGAGTCAGTAGATGGGCAGAAAGGCTCACAGCTTCTTGGAAAACATTTAGCTCTGGTTCCTCTCCTCCACTATTCTTAAATTGGCTTACATCTTTCTAAATCTAGTCAACTAGGATGTAATTATTAAGTTAAAAATTAGGTTTAAGATTCATTGTTTTTAGGAACCAATGAATGACCACTGACTTAACCCATAGCATATCAGACCCCAAGAGATGGGGACTCATGAAGTCTCAAGATGCTTATAGCATTTCTGAAAATGTCATCAGCCCATTTGTATTAAACCTTTGTGTGCTAATGAGTAATTAGACATGTTTATCATTTTTGAGAAATTAATTCTGGGGAAAATAATCATTTTAGCTTTTGCTTAGATTAGAATTAAATCATAATCACCTGTATGTTATGTGTAGACTATGGCATCATCATTCTTAGGTCATTAACTCATGAAATACAACATTTTCCAACTGCTTAATACTGTTTTTCCAAATGTTTTTTAGGATGCGACTCTGTACAAGTGTCACCGAAAGTGAAGTCGCACGAGCCAAAAATCTTCTGAAAACAAACATGTTGTTGCAGCTTGATGGTAAAAATATAAGACATAGCTTCTATTTTCATATGGTTGATCTATATTCCAATACTTAATTTTTCCTTCTCTTTAAACAGGTTCAACTCCAATTTGTGAAGATATTGGTAGGCAGATGTTATGCTATAATAGAAGGATTCCCATCCCTGAGCTTGAAGCAAGAATTGATGTAAGTAGTCCTGAGTTATTACTGGGTCATGTGTAAAAAGATCCTTGTTACAAAAGCTGAGAATATTTATCTTTCATCTTGCTTTAGTTTTAAAAAGTTCCAGATATAGACGTTGTCTTTACTACAAAAAGCTGAATGACAGTATCTTCCATATTTCAGGCTGTGAATGCTGAGACAATTCGAGAAGTATGTAACAAATATATTTATAATAGGAGTCCAGCTATTGCTGCTGTTGGTAAGCCTGGCTTCTTTTCTTCTATGCAAAAAGTTGGCCAAGTACTTTTAATTAACTGTCTTCTTTTTAATCCTTAGGTCCCATTGAGCAACTACCAGATTTTAAACAGATTTGCAGTAACATGTGTTGGCTTCGTGGTTAAAATGCTTGTTATCAAGGTTATTTGAACACATGTATTTATAAAACTGAGATCTAGAAAAAATAAAAATGAACATGTATATACATCTGGAAATTTGAATGAAATACTGTATCATGCTTTCAAAGGATAAAAAGACTACCCCTCTGAAGGTTGTTTTGTATTAATGGTCAATCTTTGTTCTCTGAGAAATTATGTTGGAAGCAGCATACTTTCAAATTATTACCATAAGTATAATTTTAAGAATGAAAATGTTTACAGTATTTTCAGTTTTATTATAAAAATGCACATACAACAAAGATTGTCATTAAGTCATTTCTTGGCTCTACTTGCATTCAGCACTTGTTCTTGAGCAGCTTTCTTTGCTTTTACCATCTCGACAAGTTCCTAGGAAGGGAGAAAGGAAGTTGTCAGAATTTAAAAACAGACATTTTAATCTAGTGTTTGGTATAAAGAATTCAAACAACTAAGACAGTACTAAGTATACCGATTTCACTACCTGCCAGGGCCTAGAAAGTTTCTAAGGTTGCTCATTTATTCCTAATAATATTGGCCCCATAACTACTGGTGTTGAAATAAGCACTATATTATTAACCACTTAATAGACATAAAATGTGAGCTATATAACCCACGTTAAATTTAAAATACAACAATCTATAAACTCTTAAGTCTGCAACCTTATATCGTTTCATGCAGTCCTTCTTTGTCCTGCCAGGCACTGCTTCTGCTATTTTTTCCCATCTTTCAGGTGTATTTACTGGGTATGTTTTCAAAGCTTGTTCCAAAAGCTTCTGTTCTTCTGTTGTCCAAGGGGTGAAGTCCGTATATGGACCTGTTTAAGAACAATTTTTATTTGAAAACTGTCTTGTTCAGAACATGTTCCCAGACAAGTCTTGTGGTCCACAAGTGTCCGCTAAGTGCCCATTTCAGTCTGGGATGTGTCATTTTGAAATAAACTTGTAGAGATGAGAGATACATATATCCCTCTGAGTGTTAATAAGAGAAAAAACTTTAGATGACTCACATCCCAGAAAATGAAATCTCAAAGGCTTTTTAAAACACAAGAGTAAAGATCTGCCTTGTACTGTTTATCTCTTACAAATCAATGTAATATACCCACTAGACTGGAAAAAAGCCATATTTAAATTTATAGTACTGTTGGACTCTCGGGCTCAAAAACACAACCACAATTCATTGAGAGTTCTGATAAATCTGCTTCCTTACAGGATAGGTAAAAGAGCTTCCTCACAGTTAAATTGTTGCTGGATAGAAACCCTGGAAACCATTTTTGTTTTACACTGAAGGAAACAAACCTAGCAAAATTAAGCCAAGTGCCCAAGGTACCAGTGCCGAAGAGGCAAGCTGAGATTAGATTGTGTTGTAGTGTGGTGTTCTCTTCGCCACATCTGCTAAAATCTTGGGAGCCAATGCCAAACATTTCCAATAACTGCTATTGTGGTTTTTCAACTAAACCTTTAATATTTCAGAAAACATCTAAGATGTGTGTCAGAAACAAATGTGTTTCTTAAGGATGTTAAGTATTACACAGTCCACTTGTGTAGGTAAAAGGAGAATGTTAAGTGGTAGAGAGCTGATTTGGTTAAGTCAATGGACTTCTGGCAATTTAGTTATTTCAGACTATGCAGTGACAACACAGACCTAATATTACCAGTACCCTGACTACTACTTGAAACTTCATCCTGTGAGATCTGTCACAAAGTTAAGCCTAGAAACCAAAGTTCCTTCCCAATTAAAGAAGGGGAAAAAAAAAAAAACAAACCCCACCACCTATTCAAAACAAAGCAGAGAATTTGTATAATATTTGAAGGTACCTAAGGTACATAAGAAGCTTTTTTGAAGGTAACTTTTAAGTTCTAGGAAGTCTTGTTGAATTTCCTTATATTGGTTTAAAGCCCTGAACACCATAGATTTATATCCTCTCTTGGAAAAAAGATGGAAGTGACATGGCAGTATTTCCTGCTGTTTTCCAGTTACTTCACAATACCAAAATAAATTAAATGTACTGTTGCAAAATTCCTATGAGAAATCACTATTCAAAAAATGGTGCCAGGTTGATGTTTAATGGTACAACTGAAGAGGAAGGAGCCTTCCCATTTCCATAAAAGAGGCAAAGATGCTAAAAGACAAAGGACTACTGTCAGTCACTCTTGCCTTCACAGGGTCACCTCTCCTCACAGCGGACTGGACAAGTATCAGGGCCTACTTCCCTCCAACATGGAAACAAGTCCCCTAAGAGCTGAGACTAGTGTGCTAATACCTGTTGTATGGTATTTTGTGGAGATAAAGGCACAGGAGAATAAACCCCTTTAGAAGTGTCCTTCAGGTGTTCTGAAACCCTGCCTTGTTACTTACCTTTATTAAAAGAACTGAAATAATGCCTAACTCAGCCAAACAAGTCACCCCTGATTTTTGCAAACAGTGATCTTCCTCCCCTATATAACACTAAGTCTCATATCTTTAGGTTGAAATTTTGGGATAATAAATAAGATTAAGAAGATAGGTAAAACTGGGACTCTTAGAAGAAACAGCTTATCATGTATAGTCAAGTCTATTAATCCAAAAGCATCTTTCTGCGATTAGTTTAAGAAAGGATTGGTGGCTTACAGAACATCAAGTGAAAGAACTTCTTTCACATAAACTGCTTTCAAACTCATAGCAAGAAAAAAATTTATATCACATCCCCAGACACAAAGACACACATGAACAAGAGTTTCATTACAGTATACCCACCTATATAATGGGTGTCACACTCACTAATTTTCTATTCAAGACACACTAAATTGATGTAATATGAAAAGCACTGATCTAGGGTAATCAAATTAGAACACCCAATATCAAACCCTAACAGGGTTTTTTTTTTTTTTTTTTTTTTTTTTGAGAGGCTTACTATGTTTCCCAGGCTCGTTTTGAACCCTAACAATTTTTAACTTTATTTTGAAATAATTTTAGAGTAGAAAGAATTGTATACTCTGCCTGCATTCCCCAAATGTGAACATTTTCATGTTTGCTAATTCTTTTTCTCCATATGTACAGACATACTTTGCTCTGAACCATAAGTTACAGACATGATGCCTCTTTATTCCTAAATACTTTGTGTGTTTTTCCTTAAACATAAGGACATTTTCTTATATAATTACAGTACATTTCTCAAAATCGAGCAATTATCCCGATAAAATACTATTCTTTTGTCCCAATAATATCCTCTAACACTGATTTGTAAAACCTGGTAAGAAAAACAAACACAGCCCCCTTCTCTAATGGCATCTGAAATGGAAGAACTATAATTCTCCATTTTTAATGGTGAGGTAAAGTAAATCTTTGCCCTGGAAATGTTTGCTTACAGCTTCCAGTCTGCTAAACATTTTATTTCCCTATCATGCTGAACATAGACTCTAAGTCTTGTATATCCAAGCAGCACAGATACATGGCTAGCATTTTCTACTTTTAGAAAAGCAAAATTTACCTTCAAATCGTTCTGAAGGTGCTGCGTTGTCTGCTTGAGGTACCACTCCATGTTCTTTTTTAAACTTATCAAATGCCTTTTTATTTATGTCATCTTTTTGATGAGGGTCTGAGAAATGAAAAACTTTTAATACTTAACAGATCATCTCATTTAACCTTTCATTAAATTGCGTAAGTTATTTTAAAAATAGGTGTTTAAAGTAACAAATGGACTTCTCAAAACTCACCAAGTTTTTGGAGACTCTTTGCTTTGCCAATAACATCTTTGGCAGTTCTTTTGACTCCAGAGGAAGAATGTATGTTCATGTAATTAGCAATAACTTCCCATCTGATAGGATATATTACACCAATAATATAATTTAATAGTATTAAGGAAAAACAAAACAACAAATACCATTAGATTTTTACTGCAGAAAGGTTATAGTATAGAATGAGCTCAAATTGGTAGTCTAATGATGCTGCTACTATAAATTCCTGTTGCCTGGACTAGGGTTTTTGCTTTTCGCATGTTTAAATCAACTATATAATCTTGGTTTTAAGTCCATACATCTTACATATTCTGTGTACAAATCAACATAAATAAAACCACTTATTTGTGTATACTGCCAGTTTAACACATTTCTTCAGAAGATCAATCATTCTGAAAACAGCCTCAGTTTCATCTACAGAATTAGGGATGCTGGGTCCCTAGGGCTTTCTTGGGAGTTAAAATCAAGCTCCAGCTTGAGGTGGGAAGAAACAAACAGCAAGACTGTAAAAGAAAAACTACAGAAAACCTAATCCCCAGCACAAGCCATGACAGAGTAGGCCAACATAAGTCAAGATTTGTCTCATGATCTTCAATTTCCTAAGAAACTGAAGCATTTTGTCCTATGTGTATGTGCATGTGTACTGGTGTAATGGGTAAGACTGACACCTTCAAAATGTACCTTTTTCACACTTCTGCTGTGGCACAGAATTTATCTCTGCAAGTTTCTGTGATAACAAGTGCTGCTATTTGGAGTCTATCTACATTATCTCCAGGCTCCAGTGTGAGTTGAAGAAAAGTTTCATTAAAACCAGTACCTTGAATTTGTTCCAGCAGGGAACAGATTCACAGCTTTAATTAGTAATTGTAAATCATCTTCTGACCAATTTTTACTTCCATTTCCACCTCCACCAGTTGATTTTTCTGTGTTCTTAGATGCTTGTCGCATACGAGCCTCAGCTTCTTCTTTCTCTTTTCTGATTTGCTCATTTATTTCTTCTATCTGCACAAATATCATAAGTCAGGGACTTAAAAGTATATTGCTATTCTACACTCTCTTCCTGGCTAGGGCTTTGTGATCCTCAACTCTTAATGTCATTCTCACTCTGACCCCATACTCCTCTCCAAGGCCAACCCAAAAACAAGCACCAGCTTTTCACTCTGGCTTTTCCTGCTCTGGCTTCCAGTCTGCATAGGTCTGCCTGAGGGACCAAGAACTGCCCCACAGCCTGCCTGATCTTCCCAGTACTCATGTCACGTGTCTTCCATTAGCCTTGGACACTAATTGACAAGTCTGTGGTTCACTGAGTTATTCATCCACAAGGCCATTTCATACCTCTCTTTAAACTCATATTCACCCTTTCTGCAGCACCCTTTCTGCAGACAATCTCATTTATTCTCTACAAAAGGTGACGGCATAG